CAAAGTGATGGTAATGATTTGATGAATGCTGATAATACATGCACTCGATTCTAATTCAAACAAACTTTTATCCAGCCACAGACCCAAAGGCAAAGGGCCTAAAATCAGATGATTATCTTCATTCAGCAGCTAGAGTTGACAATTAATTCATATTACTCACATACGGAATGGAGTACTTAAACAAGGCAGTCTGTCGGTGTTACTTTAACCATTGTGATAGAATGTTAAGTTTTTTATTTAAGATTCCCTACTCAACTTGATTGTGGATTACAGATTGCAGATATATCTGATTTTGTCTATACATTTTGAAGGTGAGTGGAGAGACACTCGAGAGATACCTGAATTGTGGTGATCAATATTGTTCTGTTCTTTTTGGTGTGTCATGGTGCCCATTCTCACGGAACATTCAACCTATTTTCGATGCTCTTAGTTCCATGTTTCCTCAAATAAAGCACTTACTAGTTGAAGAATCTTCTATCATGCCAAGGTATGTAGTTCGCAAGTCATACATGCTCTTTTTCTTCATCAATATATTGGTCAATCTTGTATGGATCATGCTATTTAATGCAATAATTTTTCACTTGCTATGCAGTGTCCTATCAAGAAATGGTATTCACAGCTTTCCAGCTATAATGCTGATCAATCAGACATCAAGAATTCGGTACCATGGCCCAAAGGATCTCAATTCTCTGGTCCATTTCTACAAGAAAAGTACAGGTTAATTTCTCAAGTTGCATTTTATTTCTTATGACGGTTCTTATTGCTTCTGGGTATTTGCCATCTGATGCTTGTTGTCCTAGTTTTATCAGAAGCATTGTGATTTTTTTTTCCCCACCCTTTTCCTGCTTTCTAGGGGATGGGGGTGGGGTAGGTCTAAGTTTTTCGTATTGCAAACATAGTGCTGTAGCAGATATGGCACCTGCTTCTCCTCTTAAAATTGAGTTATTCATTGAGGTCTCTGTCGCCTGCAACATATTTGGTATTGCATGACCAAGACATTATAAACTGTGAGATGGACAAAGCCCTCGTAAAAAAAATTAACTATACTTCTAAGTTCTAACTCTTCCCAGTGTCTTAAGTTTGCAGCAAACTTATTCTCAGTTATTCTTATACAGGTCTGAATCCTATCATGTATCTGGCTATTGATCAATCTGGTTCAGGAAATGTGAAGTCCCCTGTACTGGAAGTTGAGTCTGCAAGCGAGTTAATAACCAAGGAACCTTACTTAACCTTTGGCATAATCTACATCGGTCTGAAGATAATTATATGTTCTTTTTCTGCCATCTACTCCTGCTTCAAAGCTTTCTGGGTCTCACATGCTTGTCATCTGAACTTGAGTTTTCTTCGTGAATCAAGTCAGCTGTTGGAGCAAATGCTCCATGTGGTTGAGGTTAACGGGTTGTGGAGCAACATTAGATTCTGCAACAAGACAAGTAACTTTCAGAAAGGGGCAAATAATGCCCGGGCCTGGGCGTCTTCCTTTACTTCAGTCTCCCTGGGCGAGTCATCTTCCTCGAGACTAGCCTCTAGTGACTCATCATAATCTTCTCTTTCGATCATTGTGGTTATAACAAGTATTTGGTGGATCAAATCTTCCCCATACTTTTGTAGGGCAATGTAGTATGTTCGCTAGTTATTTTCTTTTTGTTGTGTATATATATCTCTCTCTCTCAAGATTAGGCATATAGGAATTAGATTACATGTAAAATTTTTAGTACGAGTCTTTCTGTATATTATTTACTACAGCTACATTTTTGGCAAAATTCAGATTTGATATCTTTGTATCATAACTGGGTTTCATGTTGAACTAGTGCTTTTTATTAATGAGCTACTGATAGTGTCATAGTCTTCACCCCAAGCCTATATATATAATCCTCATGACTTTGTGAAATACCTCTCGAAGATGTTGAGAGTCTATCATGAGAGAAATTTGAGTTTGAAACTAGATTTGGCCTACGTAAGAGTTAGTTAGCTATGACAACTTGGAAATTGTCCACATAAGCATTTTGTTTTTATTTAATAAAGCTATAATAAAAATCATATGGTTGCGATTTATACATTGTAGATTCCAGTTGTAGAAATTTTATGTAAGATGACAGACACCACTATGGGTTGTCACTTGATTTTACTTTATTTTGGGTGTATTTGTTTTCATATTTTTATATCCTTCATCATGAGTCTACCAACTGTCCTTGATTTGTTTCGGAGGGTTTTATGATAATTGACCTATTAATTGGATGAGATCGAATCATGAATCCTAAATATTTAAATTCAGGTTAACAATAATAAGAGAGAGAGAGAGAGAGAGAGAGAGAGAGAGAGTATGTTCCATTCTTGCGAGAAAGCCAAGGAGATCGAGCGGGACAAGGCGTGCGTGCGTGCGTGCGTGAGATCGAAGCCATGGTGATGGCGGGAGATCAGACGCTTCTCCTGCATAATACACTGCCATGATGGCGCGGGGGCGACTACTACGTGTCTCTGGGTCATCAAGGGCGTGCTCTTGGATGCCGATCTGCGAGCACTGAAGGAGCCGGAGTTGGAGGAGTGGGTGATATATGCCGGTGTAGCCATTATGGACGTTCAAGGCCTGCTCGATAAGATCCTGGACTGGCAGCCGGGGGAAGCAGCGGCGGCATCGAACCTCTTGTCGCGCTGCTTCCTCGGCAACCGAGTGGCCTCTCGCCAAGCAATTCTAGTGGAAGCTGAAGGAGGCGGCGTGCAAGCTGAATTGTTACCTGGTGAGGAGGGCGTCTGCGTTGGGCCTCTGGAAGGATAAGGTGAATTCCATGGATCCACGAGAAGAATAGTTTTCCACCGTCCCAAGTGACGAGGTGGTGGGAAAAGACGAGGATGTAGAAACATGATTCAGCGGCAACAATCTGAAGATGACGATGGCGGAAGAAGACGAGGCTGCTCTCCTCGGTGATCATAAGCAAAAGCACCATTTATATGGAGTTCATCCTTGCTCGTACGATTTATCACGACCCTTGGGTGCGCCAGGAGTTCCGAACAACATCGAACCATGATGTGTTTCTTCAAATGTACTCCTTTTGAGTCCATGTGGATCCTAAATGAACTTGCGAGCTCGATAACAGCGGAGGTGTGTGAAGACATTTGACAGTTTCATGTAAAGAACAATCGTGTTTAAATTATAATTTAATTGAGGATATAAGAAATATAAAAATATCATTCTATGTTTATTTTATCATGATCTTTTATTGGATGTCATTCCATATTTGCTATGATTATTTTGTGCTTATTTTTATCATGATCTTTTATCACATGTCATTCCATGTTTGTTTCTATCATGATTGTTTATCGTGTTCCCACAACAGTGAGCTTTCATCAAAAATATCAATCTTGAAATAATATAATTAAAATAAATCTTGAAATAATATAATTGAAATATCCTACGACTGAATGACTTGTGAGAGAGTTTGTTAGCTGATTTGAGGTGTGAACGTAAGAAACATATGATTGATGTTTGACTATTTGATCTCTAATAAAGTAGAAGTCTGATGACAATATATTTCATGCATGGTGAAATACTGGATTGACATATAAGTAGGTAATACCGATATTATTATAGTATATTGTAGGAGTGGATTAGGAGGTGATGTCAAGTTCATATAGCAGATTAGTGACCCAATTGAGTTTTGTAACGGTGGTGACGATAGCTCGATATTCAACTTAGCGGTGGATCTTGGGAATAAATTCTATTTTTTAGAACTCCAACTAATTAGATTTATTTCAAAAAAGATAATATAGGTTAACATAGATGTTCTATCATCATTATTGTTTGTCCAATCAACATCAATGAAAGCATGAAGATGAAGTAATTAGTGTTTATGAAGAAAAAATCTATGATTAAAAGTTCCTTTGAGATATCATAGGATAAGTTTTAGTACAGATCAATGCGTAGTGGATGATCGATGCATAAATTGTAATAATTTGTTGACTATAAATGAGATGTCTAGATGTGTAAGAGATAAATACTATAAGAAACAAAGTATTTATCGGTAATGTGTTTGTGTTTCGTAGGTTTGACATCATATAATTTGAGTGATTCAATAATGGAGAGTGAGTGGTAACTTCTTTGATAATAAATCTTGAATGTACTCCTTTTGAGATAGGAAAAGTTTACTCCCAAAAAATAGCTTAAGGTTTCTAGATGTTTAATGAAAAATTGATCTACTAATTATATAAGGAATTATTTAATCTTCATATGATTATTTTTTGTGATGATAATATTATCTACATAAACTAGTAGATATATAGTACTCCCCTTTTGTTATTGTAGAAATAAAGATGTATCAAACTTAGAGTTAACGAAGTCAACCGATGTCAGAAATAAGTCAAAGTTCATTAAACTTCATAAATAGGTTTTCGTAGTTTACAAACATAACTAGAATATTGAGCGTGAATGAAGTTAGGACGTTGCTGCATAAAAATATCTTTAGTTAAGGTCTTATGTAAGAATGTATTGTTAACATCTAATTACCATATATATCAGCCTTAAGTGATAGTTAACTTAGGATGACTAGATTATCGTTGGTTTTAAATTGGACTAAATATTTTTATGAAATCAACATATGATCGATGGTGAAACCCTTTGGCCACTAAACGTACTTTGTATCTAGTAATAAATTCATCTAGATTCCGCTTAATTCAAAAAATCCACTTACACATTATGATATTTTATGTGTGATAAAATGATATAAGGGTCTATGTGGCATTATGGGTAGTGCATCGTATTTTTCACCCATGCCATCGTATTATAAGAGTGCAAATGAGTTTCTTGATTTTTGAAACGGAGATAAAAAATCTTTGACTTTTTCTCATGAATAGATTTAGAAATATATTGATTCTTAAAATTTCGATAAATTATTGTTTCGTCTTGTGTCTAAAATATAAATACAAATTTTCTACTAGATTAAATTTTTTTATGTTTTCTAAATCAATTATACGAGTGGAGTTCTTGTGTGCTCGAGTTCTTTGACTCATGCCTTACGAGCTGAGTTCGCTTCATATTGAGATACAACGAGATAGTCAATGAAAATATCAAAAATTAAAATTATAAATCTATTCTCAATTTCTCTTAGTTTATATTTCTTTTTAGTCCATATTTCATCATCACAGTAATTTTCGGATCCGATGATGATATATTTAAAAATTAAACAAAAACTTTTTAAATATCATCAAAAGGTACATAATCATAATCTTAATCTATTTTGATTATGATATTAAACTTTTAATAATAATAATTATAATAATATAATTATAAAATTTATGTTACATCTGTGACACACTTATTTGATTCCCACTGTCGGATGACAGTTTCTGAGGACCAACATATGGCTTTCGTTTTTCTCCACTGTTGGTGGCCTACATTGTCACGAGCGTCCATCCACCGCTGGTTGTTTCCACAAGATCACAAGTTCACATATGGAGACTTGTCCGAGGTGTGAGCTGCTGAATGCATTCTACCGTATTCAACCAGTGAAGGCGTGGTCAACGGAAATCTGAGAACTTTCCTCTCATCGAAACAATGCCATGTCTTGAGGGCGATTAGGCCAGATTCAGCTTAGTTGTGGATTGCAATACAACCACTCCCCCCACGGCTTTGTCGACAGGTGTAAAGGAGTCGTCAGTCTTGGAGGAGATGGAGATTGGATCTCCAACCCATACATATCTCAGAAGCAATGTTTGCCACTTACGTACCTTATATAATTTATGAGCTATTAGAATCCAACAACTACCCGACACAGTTGGCCAGTTATCATTCTCGGCATACCTTAAATCTTTCTGAGACCAAGATCTGAGTACTTCCTAAATTCTTCTTCTGTAAATTTAGGAATTTACGAATTTTAAATCTTGAAAGTTGTCACTAACTTGTGAGGTTACCTCAAGACTGACAGACCTGAATGTGTGTATGAATGTTCATTGGACCAAATGCCCCGTGAAGTTGAGCAGATGAGTAACCTTCCGAAGTTGTTTGGATACATTGCAGTTGATAATCTTTGCGCACCAAACCTTGTAAAAAAACAAGTGACGTATAACAACCAGAGATGTGAGAAACGGATCAAGTAGGGGACTTACTAAACAAATCTAAATTATCTCCTCAAAACTTTAAGTTTCAGATGAACTATAACCAAAAGAACATCAGAGCAATAAGCTATTCCATATGCTAGATTTTATATACCACGCATATGCATCTCAATTTCATGTTATGGAACTCCGAGAAACAACTGTTTTGCAAATATATCAATGGATAGACTCATTTGAGCCCTTCAATTTTAAATTAAGTACAAAAGAAAAAATGTTTGAAGTATCACAACTGGAGATGTAGCAAAAGATGGATTTCACTAGCAGCAGAATTTTTGATGGTTTGCTACTCATGTAGAAAGCCTTTCTCTTCCAGGTAACCTACGACTTGCCCAGCCATGGCATTAGGAGACGGGCAAACTCCATTCTCTTGTTTTATCTCTATCTACAGAAAGAAAAGGAGTGGTTCAATTCAACATAAAGTCTGCATAAAATGTGTCTAAGAACGCCACTTCAACGAGCATATTCATGATTTCCTCAGCCGTGTCAAACAAAAGGACGACTGTAGCCACAGGCAGGGTGCTCCTCCCATGTTACACGCAAGCAAAAGAGTACAAGAGCCCACAACAAGCACCAAAAGGATATCAAAGGAACATACTGCTGGTCTAGATAGTTTTCAGGATATGGCAGAATATATAATGTATTTTGATACATGGATTCTTGGGTGAGGATCCAAATTGCTCTGCAGGTATTATTACATTCTTGTAGTAGTCATCAAAGGATGAAATCATCCACCGAGGGACAGGTTTCAGAACAAAATATGCTTGAAAAACTGTGTATCGTCAATCAAAATAATGTTGTTAGTAGCCACTTGCTAATGGCTTCAAGTTTTTTCTTTGCAACAACCTCCACAAGTTGTTATGATCATACATGGTATTGGGCAAATAGCATACCAACATGAGCTCCATTTAGAAACTACATGATCGCTCTGATTGGGACTTTGTATGTAAATGCTCAGCAGTGAGGAGTAACAATAATATTAAGCAGTTGAAACTTGAAAATACCTCACAGTTTAGAGGTGGTTCGTATGGATCATCTATCCCAGTAAAACCTGCATGAAGAACAAAATTCGAACAGCAAGGATGCAAAAGTGTCAAGTGTGCAGCAGACGATATGGAACTACCAATGACTGAGGGAAAATAAACAATCCTACAACATCCATTCCCTACAAAATTTGTGAAACAATATTAGCAATATCTATTCTCTACAATACAGCATGACCTGATACAGCCAGGAAAAAGTGAAGCCATTATCAATTTTGGTCACTTGCAGAGATCTGTTCCGCACAAGCAATTTATAGCACTTTGGTTCACAAACATTGATATCACAATCTTCTTTGAGAAGATAACTAATACAGAAAACAAGTACTATATTCTAATTCTACTAAGTAGGCCTCATCACAAGGCACAGAAAATGGAAAAAGGGACCTACAACAGAATGTGCTGGAAGAAAATTTAGAAATGCTTTATTCAATTAAGGTGCCAAACCCAAAAAGAAGGCTGGAAGAAGAAATAGTCAAATTTGATCCAATATATACCATCTTCTTAAGAGTTAATTTATCACACCAAAAAGTAATCTTACATTTAGCATAAATATTGCCAAAAGAAGGAAAAATATCGTTTCCCGTGCTCCCAAATTCAGTGACAATGTATTTGTAGGAACATGAGAAAACACATGTTTCACTAGTAATTTTTTGGTACATGAGATTAACTACTATAGATTGTTGAGTAAAGAAGAGACAAAATTGTGCATATACCCTTCTGGAGGCTCTAAAAGAGGAAGAAGGAAAAGCATAAGCAAGATGCAGACATGTAGAAGAGCATAAGTTCTCCTGCAGGTATGTAGTGACACACAACCTTCAAGTAACTTTTAACTTCTCCAAAGTATGCCAAAATGGTTAGTGTCACAATTACATGACTTCTAATTATCGTACAACAGTCTCTATGAGTCATCTAAATAATAAAAAAATAGCATCTATGTTCTTCAAGAATGTTTCTAGCACCTTATCATCTCCTTTTGATAAAGGTGCTTGTTATGTCTACTGAATCTTTACTTGCCGAGTATACCTATTACACTGATGTAATTTATGTCATTTTTAAGTTTGGTAGTGATAAAGCTCCTAAGCTCTTGAGTTCTCTTTTATGTTTCAGAGGAGCTTCTAATCTTCCACCAATGATGACTTTAATGACTTTTACCAGATTTTCCTTGATGGTTGATAACTAGTATCTTCGCAGATTAGATTAGTGTTTCATTTTCTCATAAAGGTTCTCCAAACCAGTATGAATGGACATCTTGATTTTCTAGTTATGAATCTTAGGCTTAATTTTATATATACCATCTAGATTCTAGTCTTAGCTTCCTTAACTTATTTTAGTGCATCAGGAGCAAATATTATAATCCTTTCAAGAATGTCATCAGGAATCTGTTGTCAGGGTATATCTATTTAGATGGTGCAATGTATTCATAGAACTAATAAGTAATTAGTGAGAACAAAATGGACATTAAAATTGTATTTTCTTTTCCTATTCAGATGTATTTGGATAAGCACAAAATTTTTCAAGGTTGTCATAAGCTCAAACAATTATGATGACATGACTAACTTGATTTACAAAGGTCACATACTGAGCATTAAACTTGAACTCAATGAACAAGGTTGTTGAACAAATTGGGTACCAGTGGATGAGACAACATTGATAGATTCAGAAAAGAAATGTGACTTGTGAAAAATAGATGCCCTGAAACATTATCAGTCATTAAAAAGCAATTAAATTTAAAATTTTCTAGATCATTATCAGTGAACATTAGGTTTCACTAAGAAAATAGCAGTGCCAAGGCCAATAGGCTGTCTGATTGCCTTAAGGAGTTGAATAGCTCAGCCAACAATGTAATAGGAGAATGTCTGTATCCTAAGTTAACACTGATCCAACAAACTTGACTGGGAGAATTTACCTAATAAGAGCTTCTGAATCTTGTCCAAGAAACACTCTCAAAACAGTGATAGGGAAAGGTAACTAACAACTTCTCTCCATTAGTTACGATGTGGTACATTTGAATTCCCAACAATGACAAATCACAAGGTAAGCTTGCTTATTTTAACAAGTTGTTGATAGTTTAGATTAAAACACTGAGCAGGAGATTCGAGGCATTCCTTATGGCTACACTCAATAAAAAATGAAAAACCTGTTTCATCAGAGATTATAGAATTGTATGAAAATGCTAATGGTATGAAAAACTTCATATTTAGAACTACTGTTAATCATTTTTTTGCTAATAAATCCACATGAAATCAGTAAGATATATATTCTATACATGAATGCAGTGTAGAACATGTGCAGTGTACTAGAACACAAAAATTCAAATGAAACAAAAAACAAATGAAGCAAATAGAAAACTACAATATCATCTGCAATGTAGAACATTATCTTAGCCATAGGAAGCGATTTCTCAAACAAATAACCTTAGTTTACCTTACCAGTCCATACTAGTGTACCGACCGGCCATCGGTATGGTATGTACCGAATCATACCGACACATAGTATGGTGGAGTCTACTGACAAATCGATATGTACCACCCACATCGGTCCCCTGTTAGACTGGTACGTACCGTCCATACCAAACATTATGTCATGGTATGGCTAACTTTGCAAATAACCATAAAATAAACAAGCTAAATCACATATTACCACAGTTCAATCTTTCCCCATTATGATTGTGATCCTAGATCACTTCAATTTACAATAAGCATGATTCTCTAGAACAAGGGATAAAGCTGAGTACAGTTAACCGTACGTAGATGGTAAACAAAAATTTGTTCCTTCTTGTATAACCATGTTCTTATGAGAATAATTGTAAATTTACATGCATGATATCAACTTTCTGAAACTTTAAGGAATGATCACTTTAGGGTTTGGCATGTTGTACTGTTCAGAGACTTGCGAAGAAATAAGATAAGTTGAAAACTAAAAAGAGAAGACAACAAAGAAAAGTCCTCCTCCTAGCTTATGTTTAGGTGATCAAGCAAATATAGTACAAGGAGGAATATGACACTATTTTAAGACCATAATGCAATTATGCAAAGACAACAAAAATATCCATTATGTTTAATTACTTCTGAGCATGAATGTATCTTTCCAGGTCCAGCAGACATGAAAGCTCACCTTTTATCTTTCCTGCTCGAGCAAGTTTGTAAAGGCCTTTTGGATCCCTTGCTTCACACAGCTCTAAAGGCATATTCATGAATACCTACGACACATTAACAATGAACCAAGTCCATAGTTGGAACAAATTTAGTGGCAGATAAACACAATTTAAGGAGAAGGGCTGACTTCAATGAAACTAGATTCTGGAAGAATTCCACGACATGAGTCCCTGTCTTTCCTATATGGAGAGATCAAACTAGCGATACAGATCAAACCCGCATCTGCAAAGAGCTTTGCCACTTCACCTGAAATAATACATGTTTACAATTATTAAGAAAAGGGTGGTAAGTGCATGCGACTCCCGCCAATGGAGCTCTGGGGAGAATTAGTATATATCAAGGTGTAAAATTACAGTTCATTACTGTGGTTGCTGGTCAGACCAGAACCGCACATTACTGCTGCCATACGAAACCATGTGTTGGAATGGTCCAAGACTAGTCAGTACTAATTAGATACCTTGCATGTTTTTTTTTTGCCTCAATAATAAATCAAGATATGTTTTTGAGATCTTTACATACTAAATATGCATGAAGTTAGCACACAATACATGATAGATGTCTAATAAAAACTTCAATAAGTTATTATACATGATGAAAACAAGGATACAGGTTACCTTGTTAATATCAAAATGTAGTGCTTCCAAAGGTGGTTGTATGAAGATTTTAAAAATAATAAAATTTTAATTTTCTTTATTGGTCTTATGAAGATTTTTTGAGCATTCGAGTCTCATCCATGATTAACTCCAGTGGCAACTTGAAAATCTGTTGATTAAAGATGAACCAACACCACTGGAATTGTCATTGCCACCGTCATGTTAGAACTCGGATGGACCAAGCAGAAGTTTGTCTCATGCTTGCCTCATGTTTGTGATGGTGAGTGCTGATAACAAACTCAAGATCCTCATTAGCATCATTCCTCAACCCTCATACTCATAGATGGGCTACTCAGATGCCCATATATCAAGTTTCTGCCATTGTTGCACAATAAATAAAAAAATGTTTGCTTGAATAACTTGATTTCCATAGATCAATTGATTGCATGTTACTCAAAATTAAACATCATAAAACAACTTACCAACCCTGCGTATATTTTCTGTGCGATCTTCTGTTGAAAATCCAAGATCTTTGTTCAATCCATGCCTAAGGTTGTCACCATCAAGTACATAAGCAAGCTTACTTCTTGAATATAGCTCTTGATCCAATGTACATGCTAAAGTGCTTTTCCCTGGATTAAAATTTACAAATTTTAAAAGAAAATAAAAGAAACAATGATAGGTTATTTTCTACATGAACCCTTATTTGAAGATTTCAGCGCTTAAAAAAGAAGCAATTAACTATAAAGTTCAAACCAATCCTAACTAAAATCATCGGCTTTATGAAATTGCAAAAGACAGTTTTGGTTACATTGCCAAGTTGATCAAATAAATAGTAGATGTGAAATTAAGATCCCTACCTAGAGAGTTTTTCTGAATTAGGGGCAGTTAGTGAATGAGGTTCAGGCCAATCTGAGTCTATACAGGGTCTATTTTTCTTTATATAATTTTTCAGAATTTATGTTTTAAATAGGGAAAAACCATAACATGAAAATTACAATAATAATACGAAAAAGTGCAAATAAAAGATCATGATTCCACAAATAACATATCTTCTGGAGATGAAAAACATATAATATCATAGGAGCATTTTTCAAGAATGCCTATGTAACATTTGGAAGTGTGGTAATCAGTCGAATAAAAAAAAAACATCAAGGTCTCTATGCAACAATCTTGCTGCAATATAAAAAATAAATAATCTCAACTTTTACTATATTAGAGTATGCCTTACTGATTCCAAATCAGAGTGTAACATTAAGTGATAGCAATGTCAGTCTAGTTCAGATATACTATTAAAAAACTAGTTAACGACAAACCCTAGGTCTTTAAAACAACCTTGGATGATAAAAAAATTTATCTAAGGGGAGCATAACCAAAAAAGAATTCAAGTCCAAGTTTCCTTATATAATTGGCGAGCTCATTCACTTTAGCTTAAATTTTCAATAACAAACAATTGCATGAATATTGTTGCAGAATTAAGAGAAAACAAATGGGTTAACCTGTATTTCTCAGGAAATAACTTCCTAGTTTGGACATGGAATCTGTTGTAGAGGAAGATAGTGAAAATTTTCACTTTAGCTTAGATTTTCGATGTCAAACAATTGCGCTGATATTGTTGCACAATTAAGATAAAACAAATGGGATAGCCTGTATTACCCAGGAACTAACTTCCTAATTTGGACACGGAATCTGTTGTAGAGGAAGATAGCTAATAACCACTGAGCTAAAGCTTAACTTGTTATTCTCAGAAGTCTCTCAAAAATTGTGAATCTAAAATGTGGTTTCATCACATAATCATAAGAATTGCTATGAGTAACAGTATAAAGATGCGTTATGTACACAACCATTCTACTCATAAGAGTAAGAACACTGCATACATTGACCCTTCTCAGAATCTCTAACAGAAGACTCGCGCATCGGGTTCACCTATATTGTGGTAAAAAGATGTGATGGTTCATGTCAATTCATCCTTTTTGAACTGCAAACAAGGTGCATAAAATGCAATAGGGAAATTATAAACTTAATGACATCTAGACATGGTGACTAATGTACCAAAGATAACTTCCACTAGAAGAAGAAAAGGCATGCAATAATCTTGATTAAAATCAGTATATCTGTAGCCCACCGTTCAACAAATGACGCAAATTTGAAATTTTCACAGGGAAGAGTTGAGGTTGCGAATTTAATTATCAGATTGGTTCCTAGACATCCTCGACAATTCCTAATAACCTAATCTTCAGCACAAAGTTATACCAAAAGGGCATGGATTTGCAACAACACTAATATAAGTTTTTATGCCACTCAAGGACTCATCGTTTTTTCGATATTTATTACTGAAAATACAACTTTCCGTTGGATAGCTGACTTCCGTTTCGAGGTGTTTCGGATCATGTCCGGCGCTGCACTGATCGTTGAAGAAAAAAAATGACAAAAGAAAAAAAAAACATAAAAATCGCAACAAATCCGAAACCTGAGCCGCTAAGACCGGTGATCCAAACGACGCAGCCCTTCTGTTTCAGCAGCTTCTGCCGATCGAGCTTCCCCACCGAACATTCTTGCCAGAAAATGTTCGTCGACTTGCCGACAGCGGACATCGAGGTAACTCTGCAATCGCGAAGAATGCCGACGCAAAAAAAATATCAGCGATAACAGAGCCCAACACTCCCTCCCCCCGAACCCCCCAAACCCCGAACAAAAAGGCAACTATCTCCACCAAGAATCGATCGTTATCCTTCCCCTCAAGAAATATCCCCTCAATCCTCGATACCACCGCCAAGGATCGATCGAAACAGGAGGAAAGGGGAGATCATCTACCTAATCGTCTTGGGATGGGAAGTGATCCGTGCTTCTCCTCGTTTGATGACTATTATTCGTTCAAACGTACAGCTATATATATATATAGAAAAGAAGGGCAAGCAGAAGATCCGATGAATCTGCCGGTGAATCCGTACGACTCGGAATCGGTCGCAAAGCGCCAACGAACTGCTCCCGTTGATTTAACGGGTCTGCACATATCCGCCGTTACAATCTCAGTATACACACTCTTCTAAGTGATGGCCTGATGGGGAATATAACTGTCATACTCACTGTAATACTCTTAATGTATTTAGCTATTACAAATGTATTTTTCAGTGTATATTTGGTGTATTTAAGTGTCACTTAGAAGACAAGTAATAAAAGTATAGAAAGAAATTCTTCGAAATTACGATTTTGATTATTCTGTGATTTTAAGTACTAACAATTATTTATTATTTTTTAATATTTTTCTTATTTATCTGATTTGAAATTATCTTTCTCCCATTTTAATTTTTAGAAATCGAAATCGAACCGATTATTCGGTTCCGGTTCAATTTAAAATTATCGAACTATTGATGTGGTTCGATTTGATTTGAATCGAACCACGATGATCCAATTATAAAGCCCTCCTGTTGCGTCCCCATTTCACAGAACCAAGAATCGATGCGCGTGTTGGTCGAATCGGTTCTATTCGTCCCCCAGAAACCGAATCAATTTGGGCTACAAAAGTATTCCAAGCGCGAACGAACGAACCAACAAACAAACAAACCGATCCTTGCCTGCTTCGAGTCCCGAATCGCGAGCTCCGTCCCCAACAGTTCGTCGCACCCATCCCACGAATTTGAGGGCGAGAGATGGACGACGCGGCGATTGCCGGTTCCCGCCCCACTCTGTTGATCACCAACGACGACGGAATCGACGCCCCGGGGCTCCGCTTCCTCGTTGACCTCCTCGTCGCCGCCGATCGGTACCGCGTCCTCGTCTGCGCTCCGGATTCGTGGGTCCAACTCCTTGTCTTCTGTGGCTTATCTTATAATTTTCGTGTTTGTTGCTCTTTCTCACGTTCTTTGTAGTATCCGTTAGAAGGATTCAATGGATGTATGCCTGTCTCTAGTTAGATATGGTCGCGAATCGTGCAAATTGATATCTTTTTTGCTAGTTATTTTTCTTATGTCTGCGTTTAAATCGTTGATGCTTTTGATGAGAAGTTGGTGGTGATTGAAAGGGTGACATCGTGCTATTTCTTACACTTCTTTTGTTTTGAAGTATCTCGCATATCTGTTAGAAGAACGAAATGGATCCACATTTTCGTTTATTTTTGGTTATATATGATGACAAAATGGTGCGAATTGATTAATTTACTAGTTATTTTTGTTTCAATCGCGTTTAATTTGGTGACGTTTTCTGATGCGAACTTGGTGGTGTTTGAAATGGTGGCATTGTGCCATTTCGCACGCAGAGTGAAGAAATAGTGTAGCGAATTCTTGGACTACGTATTTTGGAATATTGGAATTACAATGTAATTGTTCAGTGTCGGACATCTTCGTTTTGTTTCTTTTTGTGTTTTTTAAAGTGGAGGTTAGAAAGTTGAAATTTGCTAAAACAGAGGCTGACTGCTGCAGTTTATGGCGCTGAGTGACTTCCAATGTATCTAACTTCTTCTTTGTGCTTTTTACCAGCCTTGTTGATCACATCTCATATGCTGATGCCAGTGCTACAAACCGATCTTTCATGGCTATTTACAATTGTTGATATGTGCCACATGTCCTGTCTCAATATGAAATGTTCCCTTGTTGCTAGGTTGATTCAGACCAAGCCACTGGTAACCAGCATCACATAGGCCCTTTTGCACCCTTTAGTTAGGTTTGTATCTGGATGTAGTCAAAATATGAAAACCAGGAATCTTGCTTTGTGGTTTAAGCAGGGACGGATTTAGATCTGTTGGTTTCAGATGGTACATTGGTCTGACTATTATCACAGACATCTGATTTGATAGTAGTAGAAATGACTCTACCCTGCGCTTATCATGCTGATATGCAATAGTTCTTGTTCAGAATTGTGGTTACCTCTCTGTATTAACTGCAAAATGGTTTGGTGCACAAAATGAGATAATAATCAGAATGCACCCTCCATGAAATGTTAAATCGTCTCTTAATAAATTTTCAGGGATAAGTCAGGTGTTGGACATAGCATTACTTGGCATCGTGCTCTTAGTGCCAAACGTGCTGAGATTATGGGTGCTACAGCTTTTGCAGTATCAGGTTCTCCTATCTGTCTCGTTTATTTATTGCTTATTGATTCTTTTGTGTACAAGTAAATCTTTTTTTCATCAAAAAATTATCCATTACCATTCTGAATGTTGATGCCACTGTTGATGTTTTATCTTCTTTAAGGCAATTCTAAGAAGCCAAATCTCAATGGTTTTGAAGCCTAAGTATATTTCTGCTACAGTTTGCCTATGGTCATTCTGTGCTCTATAGTTTTTAACATTAAACAATGTAGCCACTAACATGATTTTGCCACCTGAATTGTAAAATGGACATATCCTATTAGAATATTCAAGAGAAATAGCCACAGAAGAAGGGGAGAGGCTGAATGCCCTATGTGATTAATATATTCAAATTTATAGCGGACGAGGATATTCTCCATGAGGGTGATGTCTTCTTCAAAGATACTCAAAGAATCTAACCAATCCCTAGTTCAGATTATTATATAGGTTGGCGTACATCTTTGCATTTAAGTTTACTTAAACCATTGTCTAGTAGAGAAAGTTCTATAAAGTTACTGGATTCTTGCACACTCTTTTAAGCCATTATCTACTAACGAAGTGTAGGAAACCTTGTTCTGTAAACTATGGACTAGTATACAAAAGTTCTAGAAATCTACTAGATTCCTACATGCTCCTTTAAGCCAATTTTTATAGATGACATGTAGGGGGCCTTGCTACGCTTGATTAGAGATTTGTGTCATGTTGATCTATTCTCTAGGTCCCAGATCATGGCAGATGAGAAGAATTAGCTTTCCAGTGCAGTGCTTTCAAAATCTGGTTATGGGTCAACAATTCACTGAACCTCCCACATACATTCTACAATCTTAAGATTCTAGCTTATCATTCTACTGAATCTCTTATCTACATCCCACGGTAACAAGATTTCTAGTTAATCATGTTATTAGTTAAATTTTCACATCTGAATATTATCATATGAGTCTACTAAATAATATCTGTGTATAATTTCCAGGCACTCCTGCAGACTGTGCTTCCTTGGGAATCTCTGGCAAACTTTTTGATGGTGTAATTCCTGATTTGGTAAACTCAAAGCCGAATATTATTGTCCTACATTCTCTAACATACTTTATGTTACCGAAATATTTTTTTCTACCGTTATTCACTTATACAATTTTCTGGAAAATATTACTTGGTTGTAGATCTTGCATATACTTAACTAACTTGAGCTTTTCTATTACTTGAGCACTTACTTATTTTTTCATCATACAGGTGATCAGTGGCATCAATATCGGTTCCAACTGTGGATATCATGTGTTAGTAATGCATTATTCTTGCATTCTATTACATCTGCCTATTTAATTTTAATAGTTATATTCTACAACAAGTGAGACTGTAATCTAAGTATTTAAGTTGTTGTGAAAGGAAAAAAAGAAAATGACAATCTCTGCATCTTGTCTACATAACAAATACTTCAAATAAGTCAGAACATTTTGTTTATTCTAATTACTAATAAATAATATTGGGGTCATTATTGCTTCTTGTTGTTGTTGTTGTTGTTCTAACAAATAATATTGTTATTTTTTTTGTTTAAGAATAGGAAATATTGTATGCTTTCTACAACATTCTTCTACTTGGAAAATCTTGGAATTTGTAGGTTTTTATTAAATTATTCACTGGATTTTGTTATAACATGCTAAGAATTTTAACTCATTCTGTCTATTCAATGTCATCTTCGATAATGAACTGCACTAATATATTTATTTATGCATTTATGAAGAAACCGACATCTCTTGGTACTAAAGCACTATACAGTGAAAAGCAACCTTTATGTAGGATTTTAAGACTAAAAAAGTATACCCCATAACAAGAAATTATGGATTAAAAGTTTAGTCCTAAAATTACACAATGATATCTCTAAATATACATTGTACCATAAAGGAAAATAAGACAACTGTTGTTCCCATGGGTAATTGTTCTTGCTATAACTTCTCGATGTTCAAAAGATGCACTCAGTTTGTTCATTGAAGCTCAACACGAAAGCTATATTCGTATTTCATTGATATGTAGGGTATACTCTGGGACAGTAGCTGGTGCTCGAGAAGCATTTTTATATGGTGTACCTGCATTAGCTATATCACATAACTGGTATGTTGGGTCTTTTATCATTTTGTTATTGATCACTCATTAATTTCTCTTTCTTTTTGTATAGGTTCCTTACTAAGTTAATTAAGATATATATTTTTTCTTACTAAGTAATTGACTATGCATCTAATTAATTTAATGACAATGGCAGCAAAAGACTTGAGAGTAATGACTCTATTTTTGGTATTTAGTACTTCTGTTGTTTTGAGCTTTTCTTGATTTCCTGAATTGGGCCAAGCAATCTAGATCATGGTTCAAGGGGCCTGGGGAGTGATCTCTTCCTTAAACCCAAAAAATTTATCATTGGTTGATACATGAAATTGTCGATTTGTTTAGGTCCAAAAGCATATTATACATGTGATACTTTTACAAGAACATCATTTGTCATACCCTTCTCAATGTAAGATTTTAAGACACAAACTAAAATAACAGAGAAATATTAACTAAATTTCCAAGACATACTTTGTTTAGCTACTCTAAATGGTTTCTACTATTCACTCAGTAGTCAGTACACATTCTCTTGTATTAAAATATTATACTTGATGTTTTTATTTGATTCATCATTTATGTCATTTTTTATCTTGTCCTATGATGTTCCAATTCCAACATTAAATGTTATCCTAATGTCTATGAGAATAAGGACATCTTATTTTCATTTAATTTTTGTTCTTGTATACAGTGACTAAAATTTTCAACATTGCAATTCATCTTTTTAATTATCACATTATTTTTCTTTGCCAAGATCTGTTTCTTGTTTTTGTATATTAT